AGATAGAAACCAACTACAACTTGAATTATTGGAAAGATCAAAAGTCTAAAGACTCGAGAAATTTATTATTGGACTGTCAAAGAAAGTGTTCACAATTAGATAATTGCATATTGTATAGATTTCAAACATATCATACATAAAACAATATCGATATGAAATACATGTGCATGCATCATTGTTTTTGTGGAGTACAGTATAAATAAAGACCAAAATTTTGTCTGAATTATATAAAGCATGTACTATAAATAACTAGCATTAAAAATAATGCGCAATTATTTCAGACTTCTAATTAAATTGTCGGTTGAGATAAATTTATTATTACCCGAATTCGGCATTTCTATGAAATTCTATCGATTATGTGTGTGCGTGTGTGTGTGAAAATTATGCTGGATAAATTGCACAAACATTTCTTTAAAAATAGGTGATTTATAATTTACTTTTTTTTAGCGGCTGAAACGAGAAAAAGTATGAATAATAGGTTTTACAATCTGTCTGATGGATGACAGGCAGGTAAAACGATGTATTGATGACAACAGAGGATATTTATTTTAAGAAATGATAAAAAAGTAAAACGAGTTGTAATGCATGCATGCGCTTCCAAGTTCTTGCTGGATGTTTTAGGGACTCTATAACTCAAAATCTATTGTAATAGTGATAAGTAGCAATTGGGGGAAGAAGAAAAGAAGGAAAGGGTGTGATGCGGTGAATTTTTACTTTGTTCTCAAGCAATGAGTGAATGAATGAATGCATTTATTTATTTACGCACCTCTAAGAGAAACGAGGAAAATATTATATCATTATTATGACATTGGAGTTTACTAAATTGGCACCTCGGTCATACTTCGGGTAAACTGTGTTCTTTCGTTCGATTTTTAATTGTTCAAAGAAGATCCTGAATTTTAAAAATAACAAAAATTCAGCGTTTATCATCAATAGAATATATTAAGATTTTTCATTTTGCGAAACGAATCTATTAATTCAAGACAAGAGCGTAGTCCTCCGCATGTGTATCACCAGTATACTAATATGATCAAAAAAGATTTTTATCAACCTAAATAAGAAATATTAACGAAATTTTTTCAAAACCTGAGCATTCTTTCTTACATTAATGACGTATTTTGTATTACCTTGGGGTCTGAATGAGAATTGATTTAGCTTTAAAAGTGAGTGCATAATAACATTAGAGAAACACTAAACAACCGGAAACTTGGTACTTCCGCATTTACGCGTAAAATTTCGTAATTATGTTGCATTTTAATATCAGGTTTTAGACTGGTCCACAAATTTCGTTTCGAAGACCGTTCCAAGAAGATTAGTTCGGTTGACCGACTCAACGTGGACGGATAATTAGTAATGATTAAGAAGATGATGTCACAAACTTGTCCCAAGTATTTTCAAGCCTCAGCCTTGTTCTAGCAGGGAAGAACAAAAGAATCATGGTTGGCTGATGAGAGTTATGTGTGATCAATGCGGAAATTCATGATTCCACAAATGATCTAACCTAATTAATTGTACATGCGTGTGCTACTTCTCTCTTGAACAGGTTTAAAAAAGAAGTTTACAAATCGAACGTGGAATTTTTTTTGTTTTTAATTTTAGTGCTGCTCTTTATTTAGAATATACACAATAACAAGCCTTTCTATCACTAAAATCACCACATAACTGTATACAATTATCGTTCATTATATTTTTAGTATTCATTTATCAACCAGGATGATTTTCTTTCAGAATTTTCCATTTTCACGAAGTCAAACTTAAATTTATAATAAATTTCAACGACTCTATTTTTAAAAAAACGAATATGAAATTCAAAGTCATACGATAATCGAAGAAACCCATTGGGTTTCGGTAAAATAATTATTCGAAACAATTGGTTAGTAAGAATACGATTTTTAGTCGACCCTGTTCGATCATTATTATCTAGATGCATCTTCCCACGCCAATTACAATGAGACCAATGAATGATCGGTTTGGATTAAGTCCTAATATGGAACTCAGAGGATCAAAAGCCTCGTGTTCTATTATTTATGAACAATTCGTTAGTTAGTTATAAATTATTGCTCTCATTTGATCGAAAACAAAATGTTAGCTGATAATGATTACGGGATCTATCGTAATATTTTGAAAAAAAAATTCCACGTGTAATAATATTCTCATTTTGCACATCTCACATGAATCCAGTTGCAAGATTGTCGTTGTGTTTCTGTCGCACGAGAACAAAATCGAGTTATAAACAACTTTCACCCGCATACACTCATCAACAACAATCATCACGCAAGACAACGTCGTATTGACTAACAAAACAATCATGCTCCAGACTTTAATAAAAAATCTTTTGTTTATCGGTTCGCGATTTCTTCACATATTATAGTGTCGATTATCACGAGATTGTTGAACAATTTAGGATTTTGTTCTAATAAACCAGAATTTTGGTGGATAAGAGAACGGTGTTAACGTGGGCGTTGTCGTCTTGCGGATCATATGCAGATCTACTTTGTTCGTGTACGTAATTATGTATGTGTGGGGATGATGTATTATGAATTGAACTTTGTGCCATTACCAGTTAGACTATCGGAAATTTTAATTTGAAGAGACTCGTGATTCTAATCACTCGGTGAATCCTAAAACTTGTGATATTCATAAGCAAGAGAAAAACGCTCGCAAAATAAAACCCAAATATAACTAATTGCATTTTTCGATTGAACATTCTATTTTAAATTCGTTAGATCTCAGTCTAAATGAAAAAAAAAGCTAACATTTTTTTGATTCATTTAGCTTCGACTATGTTTCATCTGGAATTGGTTTTCGTGACGGATCTTTTTAACCTGCCAAATTCGACTCATCTTGTCAATGAAATTTCTAGGCTCGAAACAATAAAATGAACGCAACTAATTCATATCAAAGACAAAAAAAAAATGGGCATCTGATCATCCCGATTAGTTGATTAATTGAACAGAATACAGAACCGAATTGGAACAGAACAATTTATTATTGTCATGACTAAAAATGCCAAGTGGCAGATAGGAGCGACGATGAAAAAATATTAAATGAATTACGAATACATGTATGCATGAGAATGAATTATTATAGTATTATTTTGTGCTTTAAAAAACCTTAATGGATGAATGATGGATGAATATATGTATGAATCTAGTATTAATGCGAAAAATCTATATGATTCTATATGAAAATATGAGGTGTGAGTGAGTTGATTGTTGTTATTGGAATGCGAAGATTGTAATTAGTTGATGATTCTATATGAATTTTTCTATAACGTCTACGTCTAAAATTAAAGGTCTAACTAATATTAAAAGAATTAAGTAAGGCGAAATGATAAACGGAATTATTGAAAATTAAATCGACGAAATTAATAAATAAAATAAATGAAATATTAGATTAGATTAGATTAGATATTATATTAATTCCTCTTGGATTATATATAAACGAATGAATGATAATAATACGCGGTTTTAATCATATAGCGGATTTTGGTCGGTTAATATCAATGGGATTTTATGATGGGGTTAAATAAATGGGCCAGATCACCACACACATACAACGGACAAAGCAATACACAAAAAACAACAACAGTAGCAATGATATCAGTGGCAACAGCAACAAGACAATAAATGAGATTATATTTTATCGAGCATTTAAACACACACATACACACGATTTAATAATTGTGGGAGTGGCGCGCGCAAAAAAATCTCGTCGTTGTGTCGTCTTCATTGTTGTTGTTGTTGTTATTGTTGTTGATGATGTCAGTTTGTTTTTTAATTTGCACAAAATTTGGTACAACTATAAACTTACTGACTATTCTTATTCAACTGCTACGTATACGTCATTATGTGTTGTGGTTAATTATGATGCCATTCATAAAAAAAGGTGTGTGGATAGGATATGATGGATGGATGGATGGATGGGATATAGTAACGTGTGTGTGCAGAAAATAGATAATAAAGATATGTGCGCGCGTTTGAATATTACTATGTATAATTAATAATTAAATGATGATGTAAATGATAATGATGATGATGATGATGATTGATGATGATGATTGATGATGATGGTGATGATGATGGTGATGATGATGATGGTGGTGGTGGTGATTATAAGATTATAATTATAAGATTATATGCGATGAAATAAATGATTGATGCGTAGTTATATGCACATAGGTTCGGGAATGATATTTAACGGTTGGTTGATAAACAGAACAGTATTCGGTAAACAATTTACACATGAAGTAATTATTATTATGCAAAATATGAATATATAAAAAGTTCGTAATACAGTTGTGTGTGGTGGGCGTGTGTGTGTGTGTGTGCGCATGTTAACCGAAACGACAAAGTAGTTTGTGTGTGCGTGAAAAAAGAGCAGAACAGGAAATTTTTTAAAAAGGGGAAGTTCAAAAATATAGACAGAATGAAAAAGAAAAAAAATATTTACTAAAGAAAGATGAATGCCGGGATAATTCGAAAAGAAAAAATAGCATATGTTTGTGTGAGTAGACCAAGCCGAGAAAAATGTTTAATATAATATGTGATTATAATTTCAATACCACCGCCACCGAATTGTTAAAGAATAAAAAAAAAGGGAAAAAATCATTACAAAGAAATTTCCACCAATGTCCGAGAATGATCAACAAAAAAAGAAAAAAAAAATGATAAAGAATGAAAAATAATAATAATAAATGTGTTATTATTAATAATAGCACATCGCTCGATCGGTAATCCATCACGTAATAATCGAGAATATTATGTTGTTATTATATATTGTTGGTATTCCATAATATGATAGTAAGAAAGAAAGAAAGAGATGACTGAGTGAGTGAGTTTACTCTTTCCCTCAGTTTGATATTGACGATGATGGATGATGATGATGATGAATATTATTGGTGTATGTTGTTGTTTGTAGGAATGGGGTGAAGTTATTGATTATTCTCGATGTTTGTTGTTTGTCTTTGCCATTTGGTCGATGGACTCGAAGATGTTGACTCAAATTGTCAGATCGTGAGAAGCGTTTCGTACAATGCGGATAAGAACAGTGGAACGCTATATAAATAATAATAATAATAATTAATATAATTAATATAATCAACACAATCAACACAATTAATATAATTAATATAATTAATCTCATTAATCTCATTAATCTCATTAATCTCATTGCTAAATAAAAAACCAAACTTACGTCTTTCAAGAGTGTGTATTGAACGAACGTGTCTTTTAAGATGTTCCGATCTCTTAAATACGCGACCACATCCAGCATAAGTACATTCAAAACACTTTGTTCCGGGTTTCGTTGGTTTATTTGACATCCTTCGTCCACGTGATTTAGTTAGTGGTTTAGCGACAGTAGTTGGTGGTGATGGTAATGAAACTATTCGTTGAAAATCTTGATCTTGAATCAAATGTTCATGATGATGATTCTGATTATGCTGAATTACATTAGCATTCGTGATGGTAGATTCTGTCGTGAATTCATTTGTTTGTTGAGATTGTTCTTCATTACAAAGAATTTGATGGAAATGTTGCGAAAAAGTGTGAAGTTGATGATAGTCTTGTGGTGGTGTTTGAGGTAATCCACAAGAAGATATGATTGGAGATTGATCAATCGGAGAAGCGATAGGTGTAAGAACTCCAGTTGGCAAACTTGCAGGATGACTGTAAAATTCAGCGAGATCCGAACAACAATTACTATCGACCGACAAACTTCTCGTGTATATCGAATCGATCGAATCAGAAAATTCAATTTTTATTAGTTTGGTATCTCCAAAGTTGTTGTTGTTGTTGTTGTTGTTGTTATAATGACTATAATCGCTGGCTGGCGATGAGCAAGTTGGCGTGGATGTTTGGATATGATGTTGAAGTTGAGGTGAATGTTGTTGATGAGAGTATTCGTAAGCTTCCTGAATATATTGTTCACTATTATCGGTGAGAAATTCAGTGAAAGTGAGTGGCTGATTCAAAATATCGGAAGCCATGTCAATCTCTTTTTGATGCTGAGAAAGATAAGGTTGAGCCAGTTGAATTTCAATTTGATGAAAAGCATTAGAATGCTGAAACTCAAGCTGCTCTTCGTGTAAGTCGTTAATATTGTGATAGTGTACAACTGACATTGTGAATTATTATTATTATTATTATTATTGTTATTACGTTTATGTTTATTAGTTGTTGTCGTAAAGATTTCTTTGAGAGCTTTAAAAGTTTTCACTTCACTTAATTAATTATATCTCAGTTGAATTGAATTGAATTGAATTGATTGATTGATTGATTGATTGATTGATTGATTGATTGATTGACTGACTGACTGATTGACTGACCAGTATTTTATATCAACTCATGCAAAAGTAACGCTGTTGCGTAAAGTATTGAGATGTTTGATGATGGTATATTCAATATTCGCACACGAAGAACCGCCAAAAATTTAAAGTGTGCGTGTATTATAAATATTTAGTTGTCGTTAACAAAAACAAATTAATATCGCGCTCTTAGAATCCTTTGATATTATTATTGTGATATCGTATCGTTCAAAAAAAAAATAAGTAACTGTGCTGCCGCTGTTGTTTGTTGTTGTTGTTTGAAAATTTTTTTAGATTTATTTTTTTTGATGGTATATTTATATGGATATTATTAAAAATTTGTTCTTGATACGGAAATCTCTTATTCTTTTAGAACATGGAAGAATCAACAAAAGGGGCAATTATAGGACGAAGGACGAAAAACCTTTGCAAAAAAAGAGATTCTACTAAAAGCAACGCAGCTTTTTATGCTTTTATTTGAAAAAAAGCGCTTATTTGATATAACAAATATAAATAATAGACTACTTTTAGATTAGCCATAATATATATAATAATATAATATAATTATTAATAAATAATATATAAATAATATTGTATTATTTATTTATTTATGCGAGTGATAAATAAAAATAATAAAAGACGAATAGATTTACTGAATTCCTTATAGGTAGTTGGATAATATGGGTAACATGCACGCTTTTTTGCATACATTAATTTATTTTTTTTACAGTATTTGGAACTTGATGAACTGGGATATACAGTTGACTTTGAGTGCACCACACATCCTATTATATACGTATATATAGTAAATATAAAATAACAAAATTTTTATTCTTGATTGGCTACCATTTAACATTTGTGTTTTTTTGTGAAGAGAAAGAGAATAAACTTTTTTCACTTCTGGTTGATGCAGCATATCATTTTCAACGGGTTTTGTTGGAATGATGACGAGGAAAGAGAGAATCAAGCAAAACTTGTTTAATTTTCACTCAGGAGAATGACTGATGGCAATGTCGGATGTGATAATTACAAGTGTTGTAAAGGAAATGTGATACGATTCAATCGATTGATCATTAGTTTTCCTTTAAACAAACTTATTTGGTGTCAACTGCTGCAAACTAATTATCATTGATGTTATTAAGAATAAAGTCTACCGATACATCCAATGGTCGGGTAAGAAGAAGGTTAACATTTCTTGTATGACGTAATTCCGGATGTTCCATGATTCCTGTTAGTTTCATACCTTGACACCAATAATTTTTTTGATGATTCCCATTAATTTCCATTAATTTCCATTAATAATAATACTAATAATACTAATAATAATAATTATTATGGTCGGTCGTCGGTCTGGTTTGAGGAAATTACTTTTTAGATTTGTGTGGAGAAAGTGGCGGGAATCTGTGCGTGTATGTCTGTGTGTATATGTAGATCCCTGTAAACAATGATCTTAATAATAAATAAATAAACAACATATTTTTTTTTCTTTCTTCTTGTTGTCACTTTAGATTTTATTTCATCTGGTGAAATTACATGGCGAGTTAATCATGAGTTATGATTTTTAGGATGTATCCCGCACCCACCCGACGTAGGGTGAGTACCTACGTTGTGTAACATATAATATATATCCTGCCCGTTACACAATATAAATTCCTACTTTAAGATCGTGGGGCTAAAATATTTCTAACTATAGATTTGCCTCATATTATTAAACACTAACGATAAAAATAAATTATTCGTCACATTTCCGTAACATGACATAACATAAATAAAATAAAATAGTATTATTTAACCAAAAGAAGCAACAACAAAAGCAGGTAATCAATCCCATTCATGGATAATTGATATTCTCTGCTTTTTTTAATCAAACGCTAAATTCTGTTAATAGATGTAATAAAGGGAGTAGCTATGTTTTTTCTCTTGTCGACTATGACGTTATTGAATTTTGATTGTGTGCTCTGTGTGTGAACTAGGAAATCAAAAAAAGCCTATTAAAACATAATACAGAAAATAAAGGGAGAGAGACAGAGAAAGAGAGAAAGAGAGCGAGCGAGAGATGAATGAATAAAATTATATGCATATAGAAACAGAAGCAATCATAAAAAACAAAACAAAAACAGCACACAACCAACCAACGAGAAAGCAAAGATATAATATAAACACGTAATAATTGTAATTATAGCTAAATTAAGCAAACAAACATACTAAAGAAATTCATAGCAATTCAGTTATCGAATGAGCGAACGAATACATGCATCATTGTCGTTGTCGTTGTTGTTGTTGTCCTTGTTGCTGCTGTCGTCATTACCATTAAGCTGATATTATTAAACTAAAATGTGCGAATCATCGAACAGGTATCTTTCCGGGCTGATTATATTCTCTCCTTTGGTGAAATTTTTAATGGAACATTTTAAGTGATGATAATGATGATGACGATGACGAATTGATCATAATAATGTTTTCTCTCGATATCTCACGTGCATAGTGACATTTGGTCATTTTCTACAGAGAATGAGATTGTCGATTCAAGAAATAGTTCCGGCCTCTTTAATAATTACCACCAACAGCAAGCAATAAATAATGTCTAACGAAACGACAGATTTAATTATTATTTCGGGTCTAACTAAATCGCGAAAAGCATTGATAACATGACTATATTTTAAGTTAAAACGAAAATATAATTTATTTAATAATTAGATAACGAGAATGTACTTCTAATCGTGCATATACTGCAATATGCATATTAATGTTCTTATAAGAAAAAATCATCATCAAGCAGCATTAAATAATATCGATATAAACAATTCAGCATTAAATAATATCGATAAACAATTCAGGCGTAAATCTCTCACTTCGCTAATGGTGATATCATAGGACTTGCAGCCATAACGAAATGTGGGGCGAATGTGTGCACATGCTCGATCAATATCGAGTCACCCGCCATTTATTATCCATAAATGTGGCTTAGGAAATGATAAATCGGAAAAAAGTAAATTTCCCATGATTACCTAATAATTGCCCAGTGGGTTTTTCTAATTCTCGATAGTAGCGGTTCTCGCTCAATCCAAGTTTTGCATTCTTCTCGATGACCAATCAAATCAAATTCGCGGATGTTGATCACTTGTTCATGATTGGTTCAGTGTTTGAGAAAATAACGTGGTTCAAATATATTTTGTACCAATTAAATCATCGTCATATCTAATACGTTTGTTTTCTTGGACAAAAATATCATTTGCATACATACAATGGGTTGCTTTACCTATTTTACATTTCTTTCGTTTCTCTGGCTGCACATACTCTTAATGCATCTGAAACATGTTTTATGTGCACAAACGTACATACTTGATTTTATAAACATCACGAATTAAATTAATTTGAGCGGCATATACATAAACAGCATTTGTTGAGATCTAAATAGCATTTCTAGGTATAATAATAGTAAATGCTCACTATTTTGTTTGTAATTGTAATTAAGGTGACGCATTTGAATGAAGAAACTCAATGGAGCGAAAACATAATAAACATGCAACAAACATATTATTATTAGACTCTTTTGTTATGGATTTTCATAATATTTAACTCACGTTTTAAGAAACCTGTGCATATTGCATGAATAGCTGTATAGCATTCACGAACCTATTTATTTATTCAAGCAACCATGACTAACAATCCAATAATTAACAAACACACGTATCATCCACAGAAACGAAAAGTGTCTCAATTTTGGTTTGAATACGGCGAGATTTTTTTGTTCGATTCTTCTGCTCACGAAATTTTCTTTGCCACAATTATTATTATTATTATTATTATTTACATAAATACATAAATACATGAATACATGAATACATGAATACATGAATACATAAATACATAAATTACACGTATGCGATCTTTGTTCATTGCTGAACGATTATTGTTGGTAAAATAAATTAAAACGCATCATGCGAAAAGAAGACTGGTATCAGATTAATTCGATGTTCAACCATGAGAGGACAAGAAAGCTTAACTAAACTTGGGTATATTGAATCGGTTTTGAGATCTAAGATCGATGAAAATTGGCATGGGGAATGACAACACGGTACACTTATGGTCATTATATGGTGATGAATGATGTAAAAAAATAGAGAACAAAGGTGAAATGAATGTTTGGGAACATTAAACCGAACCGAAAGATCACACGCATATTCTATATGCTTATCATAAGTGTGAACGGAACATGCTTCAAACTTTTTACTAACGACCGATCAAATTGTTAAATATCACCATAATAAATTAATTATGAAATTATAAGGTTTGTTTTCGAAAATAGCAATTCACACCGAATTTACTTTTAGATTCGGCTCTTTTTATTTTTTAATTGGAGGATTTTGTTTTTTATATAACCTATCAAATTTTCCTTAATTAAATACTAACATGTTATATTGATTTTCTAGTATACTAATAAAAATCTATTTTATTACAAAATTAAAATCAATATGTATATAATTATAAAGAAAATAAATCTTTCTTTAATTATTTTTTTTTGAAATATAATTTATATATATAATAATAAATAAAATCAAAATATTTCAAAATTTCAATATTGGTTATTTCTACCTAGTATTGAACAAAAACTGTGCTACTGGATAAGTCTGATCTGTAATAAAACCCGATTTTCAAAGAAATCATATTGTGGCGTAGACTGATTGAATTTCTTTGTGGCATCATTTTTACTTTGTCTAGTTTTGTTGTAGTGTGATCTATAAATAACCACTGTAAAAAGAAAATTCTATGTGGTATATGCATCATATGCAGCAATGGCTTGAAGTTATAAATAA